GTCAGTTCGCTCGGCCAGTGGTAGGACCTACTTCTCAGGCCATTTACTGAGGTCATGCACGTGCCCCTGTGGCTTTAACTGGCCGTTACTGCAGCACCAAGTATGGGAGGAAGCAGATGCCAGGTGTTCACACATCTGTCTTAGCATTATTTGCTGACCCAAGAGCCCAGGCCATAACCACAGCCGGACCCAGCGAGGAGAGAGGAACCACAAGCACACGTCCACACTAGCCATGGCCCAGCCCTGGCCTCACGCCAGGAACCCAGACCCAGACACACCTTTGGGCGACTTAAGGAGACTGACGCTGGGCTCAATCTTGGTCCAGTCGATGTTCTCCTCATCAGGCGTGTGCTCTACCATCAGCTGGAACAGCTTCAGGGAGATGATGTCATGATTGTCTGCAGGACCGAGAAGCAGCTTATAAGGGGCCTGAGCCCACCTCCAAGCACACAGCCTATGCCCCTCCCAACCACATTAGGTGGCCAGGTCCCCCAGAGAGAACCTGCTCCTGCTGGGCTGAGGGCTCAGCCTTGATCCATGATCAGTGACTGCACCTGAAGAGACTTAAGGAAGGCCCAGGTCTGACCAGTCTGGGCAGAAAAACCTCTGCTTGACCGTAACTGATCATCCCAGTTCTAAGATGGGAAAGCTGAGGCTCAGGGCCAAGACAAGGGTCCTGGTCAGCCTACCTCCTGCTATCAGCTAAGCCAACCAACTGGAACCCGAGGAAAGGGCCTGGAAAGGGGAACGCAAAGAGCAAGGACCCAGTGGCCAGGTGGGCAGAGCCAAGCGGCACCCGACTGCCCAGTGTACATAGCCCCGGAGGCCCAGGGACAGGTACCAACTCAGGTCAGAACACAGATCCCACTTGAGCTCAGCTGCTTCCGGGTGTGTGAACGTGGAGAAATTCAACACTCAAATCTCCAACAGTCTCAGTTGTATAAATAGCTACCTAGGCATATGTCATGTGACTTTGCCCATGAGATTCCTGTCCTCTACAGCACTCCTCACTGAGCACCGAACAGCCTTAGAGAGCAACCACTTGCCACAGATCTGGCCCCCTCAAGACATATGCTGAAATTCTGTCACATGAAATTTAAGGTAACCCAAGAAGGATGGTGGCAGATCCAGAGATTAACATCAGGATGGCAATGTGCTGGGAACTGATTACCAGGTAATCAATGAGCAGGTAACAACTCCCAGGAACGAGGGGCTTTCTGGCCCATCCTCTTCTCTCTTGGATATACGATTACAATTTCTGTATTAAAAACTTTAAAACAATGGACACTCTGGGGACCGAGTGGGCCCAGACACTCCCATGGGGAGGAGGCTCCTGGACAGTGGCTGGTGCCATCTGAGGGCCAAGAGAAGGACTGAGGACCACAGCCAAGGGCCACCCTCAACTGCCACCCATGCCTGGCAGCATCCTAATGCTTACAGAGCATTCACTGTAGGACAAACGAGACAGAGCCCCAACTTTATAGAACTCACAATTCAGTGAGTGAGACAAAGACAATGAAATTATAAGGTAGATTATAAGAGAATTAAGTGCTATGAAGAAAAATAAAGTCGAGAAAAGTGACAGAGAGTGTGCAAGTGACAGGGGTACATGTGTACAATTTTAAATAAAGACATCAGAGAAGGGCCCACTAAGGAAGTGACATCTGAGCAAGACTTGAAGGAGATGAAAGTAAGGCACAAGCACAAAGGCCCAAGGCAGGAGGGGACTGCTGTCTGCACAGCTGGAGGCAACGTAAATGAGGAACAGGGAGCAAAGAACCAGAGGTGATGGGGTGGGTGAGGCGCTGGCACCAGGGCCTGGAGGGGATGGATGGTGGCTGGAGAGCTCTGAGAGGATCAGCAGTGACACCTCATGCAAGCTTTAATGGGATCGCTCCGGCTCCTGTGCTGAGACTGTCGGCGGCAGGCATGGAGGAACCAGCTGGGGCTCCTGCGGGGGTCCGAGTGAGGGAGGATGGTGGCCCAGACCCTCCAGGTAGTAAAGAAAAGGCAAGAGGTGGTCCGCTGCACCATGAAGACAAAGCCAGCAGGACTCGCTGATGGATGACAGTGGCATGTAAGACAAAAGGGGAATCCTGAATGACACCAAGGTTTTTGGCCTAAGCAACTAGTGTCATTTATGTCTTGATGGAAACATGTGGTCTTCAGTTGTGCGCATGAGAAGGCTTAGATGCCAAGTGGGTTGTTGGTGACACTGGGCTGCAGATAGACATCTGGGGTCAACAGCGTCCAGATTCACAGCGTCCCAGGGAGAGGGGAAGTTTGCCTAGGACTGTGCAAGACTGAGCCCTGGGCGTGCCGACACTGAGAGATGATGGGAAGAGGAGGAAGAAACCAGGCATGTGTGGAACCAATGAAGGAAGTTCAAGAAGGAAGATGACCAGCTATGTCACAAGCTCCCAACAGACCAGGGAAGGTCAAAACTGAGACTTATTTTAACACCTTGCTCAGCCCACTCACCAGACAGGTCACCGGTGCCAGCCGAGGCCCCGAAGTAGTAGCCAGTGGGCAGGCGCACTCCCGTGATGTCGATGCAATTCTTCCACTCGTTCTTGTCCTCCAAGTCAGTCATCACCTGCAGCCAGCCAGCAGGTCAAGCTCACCCCAGACCCAGCCCACCCACCTCCCCGAGTACCTCAGAACCAGCACAGGTAGAGCTGTCCCCATCCCCACCACCTGCTCACCGTCAGGCGGCCCCGGGAGTAGCGCACAGCTAGGAAGGTGTCGTGATCGCGGTTGCGGAAGTCGGCCGTGCAGCCTGCCAGCTCGGTCCAGCGGCCATCCTTGCTGTGGTCGTAGGACAGGGAGCCATTGTTCACCATCACCGAGATGTATGGGAACACACGCTGTGACCAAGACATCAGTTATTGCATGGCCAACCTGGCCTGCGGGAGGTGGCGGGAGCTCCACCAACCCCTTCCCCTATCGCCCAGTCGACTGCCCAGTCCTCTGGGTCCCATTGTGCGGGAGGGAGCAGCCTACCTCCGTGCTCTCATCATTGGGGTATGTGTCCAGAAAGATGGCTAAGCCATGGAAGTTGTCTTTACTTCCAAACACAGGCCCTAGAATGAGAAAGAGATGCTCTCATCATGGGGAAAACTGGGGTTGTCCCCTGGGTAACCTGAAGGACAAAGCAGCACCAATGTGGGTCAGGGGGAGAGATGCAAGCTATTAGTTGTGCACCCAGGGAAGAGAAGGGACTTCTGAAGGCAAAAGCTGGGGATGGCTTCAGGGGCCCAGCAGAAAGGACTCAAGTTTAAAGCCTGAACTATAAAGGGACAGCACCTGGCCGGCCACGTGCTCTGAGGAGTCAGGTGACGAGGGGGTACCTGGCCTGTGAACAGCGGGTGGCTACACAGGAGACCCTATCCACTAACCCAGAGGTCAGCAACTTCCTGTCAAGGTCCAAAGAGCAAACGTTTTGGGCTTAGCAGGCCACATACAGTCTGGGTCACATAGTCTTCCTTGTTTTTGTTTTTCGAAAAATAGCCGTTTAAAATGGTAGAATGGTAAAAGCCATTCTTAGCTGGTGTACAATGCCAGGCCACCATGGAGTACAGAATTGAGCTGTAGGATCCAGCCCTTCCTCTTCCCGAAGGGACGTCCAGATTCTAGGGGTTCTGGGTTCCTTGAGGAGGAGGAGGAGCACCCTGACAGGAGGGTGCAGAGTGGAAGATCCTTGGCTACAGACGCCCACACGGGCTCGAGCACAGCCCTACCTGGCACGAGGCGGTCCCGGGTATACCATAAGGCAATGCCATCTCCATGGAGATTCTTCTTCCCTGCACCATGGACTCTGAAGTGGACGTGCATCTCCCAGTCCTTGAGGAAGCAAGGCTGGAGGGAGAGCAGAGAGGGTGCTCAGAGCTCCCTGGGCCTTCCTGCCAGTTGGAGGTGACCTGGCACAGACCCTGCCCCCACCGAGCCTGGGCCAGTAGGGTCACTAGTGCCACTGACCAACAGATCCCCCAGCTTTCTCAGCAGGAAAAGCAGGAAGAAAGAAGGCTGCTGGGACTACCAGGTAGAGAGTGAGAGGCCACACAGCGTCCCAAGGCTGCCTGAGGCCAGACCTCACCCAACCCAGCTGTCTTCTGCACTCTGATTCACTTTCTTTAACACCAGTCAAACCCGTCAACCCTGTTTTCTCCCCAGGCTCACTGCTCCTGCCCAAGGATCCTGTGGAAGGGTTACTACCCCAATTTTAAGCCACAGATTTTACAAAATGGAAACACATTTAGACAAAACAACTTGTCCACAGCAGGTAAGTGGACAGTCACGATTCACTCCCAGGTCTGTGTGATGCAGAAACTCATGCTCTGTCTTCTAAACCTCCCATGACCCTCGGGTCTTTAACACAAGCTGTATCAGCTCCCTTCTGGCCTCCCACTCCTACCATCTTCCCTCGTAACTGACCTTCCAACTAAAGGACTCAAATTCAGGTCTGGCTAACTCCAAACCCCAGCACACCTCCTGCCTCTTGCAGACCTAGGCAAGCCCCAGCGTGGTGACAGCACTAGGGTTAGGGGCTGGAAGGGTTACTTTGACTCGAGGGAAGGCAGATGCTCCCCAGCATCCAGGAACACCAGGTGCAGAGCTGGGCCCTGCCCACTACAAGGAAAACAGCCTGGCCTCACCCACCAGGAAGCTGCTTGTGAAAACTAGTATGACACACACCTCAACATACTTAGGGGAAGTTTGTAGATGGGCATGTGAGCAAATGATTAAACAAAGGACCATCAGACAGGCAAAATGAAAACAGGATATTGCTGACCTACCAGATTACCAGCTATTAAAGAGATTGCTAACACCACTGTGGACAAGGAAAGAGAGAAACACACACACAACCAGTGGGACTGAATGCTCCCGTCTTCTTGGGCGCGATATGGCTGTTGTAGCTTTTCAACAGAACGAGGCAGAGCCTTAAGCACTTACACTTAAAGATATCAAAGATACTACTGCAAAAAGTATCAGTGCTATGTTCTCATTTTTGAAAAAAGAAATTAGTATATATGTAGATAAAGAAAAAAAGGAATATTTGAATTTTATAAAATGAACATATTACTTCTAAAATCAGAAAAAAAACTCAGAAAGAAAGACCTTTATGTCCCATTGTGAGTTATCTGGCTTGTGCATTCAGAGTTACCAGCCAGTGCTCTGGCTCCGGGCACCAGAAAGCCAGATGAGACCTGGCTCCAGAGAACATGGAGCTAGCAGGCACCTGCGCGGCAGCTTACAAGTCGTGTGAAGTCAGCCTTCCCAATTCTTGACAGTTCATTGGGAAATCAGAAAAAATCTGCAAATTCTAGAGGAGGCAATGGAGCTCTCAAGGACAGACAGACAAGGAATCTCTAGTCCAAGGCCCGCGGAGGGGGGAGAAGGCCGGCTGAACTGACTTTGCTTTGGGTTGAGACCA